GGTAGTCAGCAGGAGGAGCTTTGGAGGCAAAGGCACGGGGGAAGAAGACTCAACCTGTGTTCAGACCCGCAAGGTGAGTAAACTTATTCCTGCCGTCCTCAATGCCTGGCCATCCCAGGAGCCTTCACCACCCGGCCTTTGCCTCCTTCCGAGCTCAGAAGAGGGTGAGAGACGGGCGGAAGGAGTTCTCTGTGCCAAGTTTGAGTGCATTCCGTGGTTGCATGAGTTCAGAATGCTTTTGGATGGGAGGGAACTATATATCCCAGCAGCTCCAAAATGCCAAGGTCTATGTACCCCAATCCTCTCCAGTATTTTCTGTCACCATGGGAGTTCTCTGTGCCAAGTGTGAGTGCATTCCCTGTTTGCATGAGTTCAGAATGGTTTTGGATGGGGGAGAACTATATATCCCAGCAGCTCCAAAATGCCAAGGTCTATGTACACCAGTTCATCCATTTCCCCCAAACTCCACCATTGTTCAAATTTGGGCATATTGAATATTCATGCCAAGTTTGGTCCAGATCCATAGTCATTTGGGTTCACAGTGCTTTCCGGATATAGGTGAACTACATCTCCCATGAATCACTGTCAATTCCTCCCAACCTTCTCCAGTATTTTCTGTTGGTCATGGGAGTTCTGTGAGTTTGGTCCAGGTCTGTAATTCGTGGGGGATCTCAGTGGTCTATGGAAGTCAGAGCTGAATTGGTTGAAGGTACTGCAAATCCCATCATCCGTTGTCCATACTCCCCCAAAGATATTGTTTTTGTGATTAGTCCCTATGCTTTAATTATGTTCAATTTGTAACAATGCAAATACATCCTGCATATTAGATATTTGCATTAGAATTCATAAGAGTAGCAAAATTATTTATGAAGTAGCCACGAAAATATGGTTGGGGGTCACCACAAAAGGAGGAACTTTATTTGGGGAATTCAGGATGCTCTTTGATTGTAGGTGAACGTTATGACGTAGCAACTAAAGTAGTTTTATAGTTGGGGGTCACCACAACATGAGGAATTGTATGAAGGGGTCGCGGCATAAGGAAGGTTGAGAACCACTGCTCTAGGGGATAAGTATCTTATTTGGTCTCTGATTTCTGTCATTTTGTCTAAAGGATTTTTTTTCTTTTTTCTCAAAAAAGAAATCGGCAGAAGAAACACAAGAAGCCAGCTGTAACAAAGCCTGGTGCGGAAAAACAGGTGTCTGGAAAGCAAAAGAGAACGAAAACAGGGGAGAAGCCATATAAATGCATGGAATGTGGAAAGGGCTTCAGCCAGAAAGCAGGTCTACGTGTACACCAAAGAATACACACAGGAGAGAAGCCATACAAATGTATGGAATGTGGAAAGAGCTTTAGTAACGGGAGACACCTTTGTATACACCAAAGAACACACACAGGGGAGAAGCCATACAAATGCATGGAATGTGGAAGGAGCTTCAGTTGCAATGAGACTCTACGTTCCCATCAAAGAACCCATACAGGAGAGAAACCCTATGAATGCATGGAATGTGGAAAGAGCTTCAGTCAGAACGGAAGTCTACTTCGACATCAAAGAACACACACAGGAGAGAAGCCATACGAATGCATGGAATGTGGAAGGAGCTTCAGTTACAATGAGACTCTACGTTCCCATCAAAGAACCCATACAGGAGAGAAACCCTATGAATGCATGGAATGTGGAAAGAGCTTCAGTCAGAACGGAAGTCTACTTCGACATCAAAGAACACACACAGGAGAGAAGCCACACGAATGCATGGAATGTGGAAGGAGCTTTGGTAATGGGGCACAACTTTGTAAACATCGAAGAACACACACAAGGGAGAAACCCTTTGAATGCATGGAATGTGGAAAGGGCTTCAGCCAGAAAGGAAATCTACAGGTGCATCAAAGAATACACACAGGAGAGAAGCCATACAGATGTATGGAATGCGGAAAGAGCTTCAGCGATAGTGGATCATATAAGAAACATCTAAAGGCTCACACAGGAGAAAAACCATATAAATGTATAGAATGTGGAAAGAGCTTTGGTGACCGTACACAACTTTGTACACATCAAAGAACACACACAGGGGAGAAACCATACAAATGCATGGAATGTGGAAAGAGCTTCACTCAGAAAGCAGGTCTACAGGTACATCAAAGAACACACACAGGAGAGAAGCCATATGAATGCATGGAATGTGGAAGGAGCTTCAGTTGCAGCGGAAGTCTACGTTTGCACCAAAGAACCCACACAGGAGAGAAACCCTATGAATGCATGGAATGTGGAAAGGGCTTCAGTCAGAAAGCAGGTCTACGGGTACATCAAAGAATACACACAGGAGAGAAGCCATACAAATGCATGGAATGTGGAAGGAGCTTCAGTAGCGGTGGAAGTCTACGTTTGCACCAAAGAACCCACACAGGCGAGAAGCCCTTTGAATGCATGGAATGTGGAAAGAGTTTCAGTGATAGGGGAGGATATAATCGACATCAAAGGATTCACTCAGGTGAGAAGCCCTACAAATGCATGGAATGCGATAAAACATTCAGGTGCCGTTCAGATCTGTTGACACATCAAAAAACCCACAGAGGAGAGAAACCACACAAATGCATGGTGTGTGGAAAGGGCTTCAGTAAGGCTTATCATCTGCGTGTACATGAAAGAACGCATTCTGGAGAGAAACCCTATAAATGCATGGAATGTGGAAAGAGCTTCAGTCAGACCTCAAATCTACGTGTCCATGAAAGGACACACACAGGGGAGAGACCATACAAATGCACAGTGTGTGGAATGGGCTTCTGTGATAAAGGCTCATGTAACAAACATCTAAGGACCCACACAGGGGAGAAACCATATGAATGCGTGGAATGTGGAAAGAGCTTCAGTTGCAGTTCTAATCTGCGTACACATCAAAGAACCCACACAGGGGAGAAACCGCATGAATGCAAGGAATGCGGAAAGAGCTTCTCTACTAGTAGCAGTTTGCGGTCGCATCAAAGAACCCACACTGGGGAGAAACCTTATGAATGCATGGAGTGTGGAAAGAGCTTCAGTTGCAGTGAAAGTCTACATTCCCATCAAAGAATCCACACAGGAGAGAAACCATATCAATGCCTGGAATGTAGAAAGAGCTTCAGGGGCAGACGGGATTTGCATTCCCATCGTAGGACCCACACAGGGGAAAAGCCATATAAATGCATGGAATGTGGAAAGGCCTTCAGCAAAAGTGGAGATTTACGTGCCCATCATAACACCCACACAGGAGAGAAACCATATCAATGCCTGGAATGTGGAAAGAGCTTCAGAGACAGACGAGATTTGCATTCCCATTGTAGGACRCACACAGGGAAAAAACCATATAAATGCATGGAATGTGGAAAGGCCTTCAGCAAAAGTAGAAATTTACYTGCCCATCGTAAGACCCACACGAGAAAAACCACATAAATGCATYGAATGTGGAAAGGCCTTCAGCAAAAGTTGCTCATATAATAAATATCTCCCTATGTATATATTTTTGGATTTACCTTAATCATAATAATAATTCAATATGTATATTCCGCACTTCTCCCCGAGGGTACTCAAAACAGAGTCCCCTCCTCCTGCTGCATTTACAGCAGACATAGGCAAACATTCAATGCCTTTACAGTCACATAAAATGAGACACACAGACAAAGGCAAAGGCTTCTCCTTTCATTTCCGACTTCTGAAGGCAATGCTCATTTCTCGCTCTGGGAGAGGTGTTTTTCTCCATTTTCGATCCGAGGAGCCATTAAAGAGCCCACATAGGGGAGAAARATGGGASAAACATTGTCATCTCCCAGTTGTGTGGCCGGCAAGYCTGCTTGGAGTGTCTTTTGCCTTTTCCTGCCAAAGCGGTACCTATTATATTTCATAAGGTAACATAAGGTAATTTTATAAGGCAAAGGCTTCTCCTTTCATTTCCAGCTTCTGAAAGCAATGCTCATCTCTGGCTTTGGGGGGGTTGCTTTTCTCCATTTTCAAGCTGAGGAGCCAGCATTGTCACCTCCRGGTCYTGCGGCTGGCAAGACTGCTGGAGACTGGGACGTGGAACAATGGCTTCAAAGTACAAGACAGGAGATTCCATCTGAACATGAGGAAGAACTTCCTGACAGTGAGAGCCATTCAGCAGTGGAACTCTGCCCTGGCGTGTGTGTGTGTGGGGGCTGGGTGGCCATCTGTTGGGGGTGCTTTGAATCCAATTTTCCTGCTTCTTGGAAGAAATGGGGTTGGACTGGATGGCTTATGAGGTCTCTTCCAACTCTAGGATTCTATGATTCTAGGAGTGTCTTTTGACTTTTTTCTGAAAGTTAATCTTTGGAACATAATGAAGCATGTGTAAATCAGAAAAGATGTTGCAATAGACTAGGAGGCAGGACATTGAATTAATGAGCTTATAACAGTGGAGTAAAAATACAGCAGACGCCATTGCTCTGTCTCTTGTCTCTTCTCAATTGCATCTGACCATGCTAACGAGGAAGTGTCATTGCAATGAATGGAATGTAAATAAAGATTAGAGCCGCTACTGAAGCAGAAACAACTGTGTCTGAAGTCAGTTAACTGGATGATAAGAAGCAAGTTGGCCAGCAAATTGCACTGATAATTTGTAAAATGTTGGGACCTTTTACCATATGTGTTTGTAAAAAGGCCCAGAAGTATTGGACACAAGTATGTATGATGTTAGAAAAAAATGTTAAGATCAAAATGATGACAAAACTAGAGTTTTCCTTGCTGGGATGCGGGATGATCTGTTAGAGGGAAAATACAAAGACTACTGTTGTACATAATGTCTGCAGTGAGGATAATCTCTGTCCAGAGATGGCTAGAACCAACTATCCTGATGCAAGAGGACTGGGTGACAAAGATGTGCACATTAGCTGAGATAGACAAACTAATCCTGCTGATGCAGGAGAAATCCTGAAACACTGGAACTCATTGATCGTTTTTCTGCAAGAAAAATGGGAACAAATTTCAGCTGTCCAGTTTCTGATATAGTCGTATAGGGTTGTATAGGTTAGGATGATTGTTTCAGACTGAGTTCTGTTAGTTGTTGCACAATTCTTTTTGTTTTGTGTGTGTAGGGAGACATTCTTGCTCAATGTAACTATTTTCTATACCTGTTTCTGTTTTCACACTTGTATTTCTGTTCCTTGGAATAAAAATTATTAATACATCTTACAATCACATGTGTGGATTTAGATAGGAATCTCTCTAGGAGGGGAGGAGTCCAAAAGTCTTCACTGRCTCTGAGGTTCACCCTTGAAGGTCACTGAGAAGACGTTGCCCATCCAACTGCTGGACAGATCAGCCCCAGTCAGCTTAGTAAATGGGCAGGTAACACTGGGWTCTTTGCCAGGTMGAATATGAATTAGGCAGATCATGGGTCAGTCCCCAAAAAAKCCCTCTCCGTATTCAAAGTTGGCCATGTTAGGTATGTGTGCCAAGTTTGGTCCAGATCCATCATTGGCTGAATTTGACCTAAGCTTGGCCTCRCCCTCACCCCAACATGACCAACTTCGGATACTGAGAGTTTCGGGGGAAATGAAGCACCATTTTGGCAATTGTAGTACACCCACAGTCAAAGAACACTGAACCCAAATGACAGTGGATCTGGACCAAACTTGACACATGGCCAACATGATCAACAGAAAATAATGGTGGGATTGGAGGGGTGTTGACCCACAATGTTGGAAACTGTAGTGCACCCAAAATCAAAAAACACTGAAGAGTGTGGTGTTTCAATGATGTGTGTTGTTAATGCTCACAACAATATGCGCTCAGGGCTTTAAAGCAGGATAAGCAAAGTTGAGGGATATTCTGAAATAAAACCTATAATGTTCACCAGTGCACTTACCATTTTGTCTTTTAATAGCACCCCCGTTACTTCTACTTGCTTTTTATTTGGGTCTGAGGTGGGTCTCCTTTCTCCCCGGACACCAAGGCTGGATTTTTCCCCCTCCGTAGGATAGAGCAGCTCKCTGGGACACATTTCCAGTTACTCATGGTCCCCAGTTTCTGATTGCGGTGTCGTCTTGAGCAAGTCYCACTCTCTTGGCTTGAGTCACACTCCCTCAACCCAAAGGATGATGCGGAAAATCCCTGTGTAAATAAAGTCCTAATAAATGGTTGTCCTGAGCAACTCAGTCCATCACATACAATGCATGGGAAGTGATCTCGGAGTGCCATGAAGCCTCCACCGCAGACAATGGGGAGTGCAGTTGCCTCCATCACATGGACTGAACTGGAGGTTTCTTGAGTGGGTTGAAGGCAGCCATCTTGCAAGACGCCGCACCATATTGTCCTCTGCAGGAACTGTTGAGAGCCCTTCCCACTTTCACCAATGCCACTCTGGTGGTCATTCGATGGTAGGCAGCCATCGTCCTCTGSTTCAGCTYTTGAGGGTCCCTCCCACTTCCACCAATGACACTCCAGTGGCCACAGGGTGGGAGGCAGCCATCCAGCAAAACAAAGCCCCATTGTGTCATCTGCAGTAGAATTTAAATGTCCTTCCCAGTATCACAAACTGACATTCCGGTGGCCATAGGGAAGGGAGTCATCCAGCAAGACACAGCACCATTGTGTCCTCTGCAGTAGCTGTGTTGGGAGTCTCCCACTATCACCAGCGGACATTCTGGTGGCCACTGATTTTAACAGGAGTGGAGCGCAGGGAGCATACAACCCCCCTGTTGCGCCAACTCCACTGGCTACCGATCTGCTACCGGGCTGAATTCAAAGTGCTGGCGTTGGCCTTTAAAGCCCTAAACGGTTCCGGCCCAAGCTACCTATCTGACCGCATCTCTGCCTATGAACCCACCAGGACCTTGAGATCTTCCGGGGAGGCCCTGCTCTCGATCCCGCCTGCTTCTCAAGCTCGGCTGGGGGGGACGAGAGATAGGGCCTTCTCGGTGGTGGCTCCTCGGCTGTGGAACGCCCTTCCTACGGACATTAGACTAGCACCATCTCTAATGGTATTCCGCAAAAAGGTGAAGACCTGGATGTTTGTGCAGGCGTTTGAGTAATTTAGTGCAATCTGGTAATGGAACATAGGAATGGAACAATGGACGACGAACCTGGACTATCGCTTGGATGATGAGAAGATTGGGTACGGTTGTTTTTTGTAATAATTGTGCATTGTAATTGCTTATTGGTAATTTATGGATAATGTGTTAAGTCAATTGTTATATGTTGTATGGAACCACTGCTGTTTCTACTGTTTTTACTGTTTGTGAACCGCTGTGAGTCGCCTTCGGGCTTGAGATACAGCGTATAGAAGCAAAGTAAATAAATAAATAAATAAATAGCTGTGAAGGTGTACGAAGGCTGCAACAGGTAGGAGGCCACCAATCATCAGGGTATCCATGCCACTGGATTAGAACCTCTTTCTATGAAGGCTGTGTGTTGGTCACTGCACCGATCTCCACACATAAAATGAATCCACATCCAAGCATCTTCCAAGCAGACCCCAAACCAACCAAGTCCCATGGGGGGAGGACTGTGAAATCTGGAAGCCCGTAATTATGGGCAGGTTCATGAGCAGTGGATATGTATTCGGGTGTTCTAACCCATTGCAAGGACTCACCTTTGGAATGGAATACCTTGTGGTGATGAATACATGGAATAAATGGAGAGTGCACTTGGCCTCTGCTGCACCTAAAGTCATTTTATTCAACGGGAGTGGCTATCTCTTGCTGCTGAGCAAACCCTGGAATGCATCTATGTCATGCTGTTCAGTAGACTCCATCCTTCTGCCCTGTCCATGTTGAGGAAGTCTGGCCCACCCATTTGTAAGCCAATTTCCCTAAGGATCTCCAAGTCTGTGCCTGCCAGGTGAGATGTGAGTGGAGAAATTACACATTGTGCTTGGCACCTCGATCCATGGCTTCATCCAGCTAGTTCTTAGTGAGACTCAGGCCCAGTCTGCCCATCAGGTGGAGGCCTTTTCCGTTCAAGGTCCCTCAAGGAGACTTGCTCTACAAGTCCACCTCCGAGGCCTCTTCTGTAAACACCCCACTTTTGTTGTTTATGCTATAAAGGAGGACAATGATCATATGTAGAATTAGGTTATTAGCGAGTCACAACCATTGTCTTAGCAACTCACACTCCACCAGAAACGAATAATCCACTCCTGTAGGGAGAAGGTTCACAAGGCTAAAGTGCAAAATGAGCTCAGGCTTGTCAGGGACATTAAAATCAATAAAAAAGGCTTCTTTGCTTATGTTGGTAGAAAAAGGAAGAATAAGGAGGCAACAGGGCCTTTGTGAGGAGAAGATGGGGAAATGCTGATGGGGGATAGATGGGGAAAAGGCAGAACTACTTAAGGCCTCATTTGCCTGTCTTCTCACAAAAAGAAAGCCGTCCCCAACCTCAGCAACATGGAATGGATGAAGGAAGAGGGGAAATCCAACGTCAAATAGGGAAACAAGTCATCCAGGACTACCTAGCCGCTACCTACTACCTGGAACTAGCGGAAGTCATTTCAGAACCATTGGCAACCATCTTTGAGAGTTCTTGGAGAA